ATCCATTGAAAACATTTTCTGATTTTTTTTTTAAAAGGTTGATATGGAAATTCTTTTAAAATGTACCAATGTTTTATTTCTCAACTTGTGTTTTAAATAGATTCAGGCTATTAAAATGATGGTTCGATGGCTACTTGGAATGAAAAATAATCACAGTAAATCAGGAACTTCTACCTTAAGATTGTTAACAACAATATTGCATAGTGATGGAGACTTGACAGAACAGGGGAAAATTAGGTATGCAATTACCACTTCAAAGTTCTTTTGATTGTACAGTATTTCAACTCCTAGGGTAACTGTTGAATAGTGCAGTTTCTTTTTAGAAAAATAATTAGTATCGCTTTATACATATGCATATATTTTTACTGTAATATGCTTTCGTACAGTGTTTATTTTACAATGGCAGTCACATGTCTGGTGCAGGGTACTGATACACATTGTATTTTAAACAATAGATGCTTACTCTTGGGGACATCTAATATGAAAGTGTTAGTGTATCAATCAATAATTGATGTTTCACATTCTTGTTACTGTCTAAAAGGAAGAGAACAGATTGATGGAAGGCAACTTACTGAGTCTATTTCCAGAAGTATAAGTAACTGCTTATTTTAAAAATGTACAGTTTTTAAAAATGAACACACTTTTTTGGTGTGATTTTTATTTTGTTTTGTTTGAAAGATGTAGTATTGTATAGTGATTGAAAACATAGATTCTGGAACCCAAATTCAAAACCTGGCTGTGCCACTTACTAGTTAGGTGACCATTAGCAAGTCACTTTAACCTCTCAGTACCTCAGTTTCCTTGCCTATAAAATAGAAATAATGGCAATTATGCGTACGTATCTTATCTGGCTATTATGATGTAATTAAATCAGTTAGTATATCTAAGGTATTTAACACGCTACCTAGCACATAGTAATGAGCATTGATGATGGCAGTGGTCGTTATGTCAGCGTTAGCTAAAATTTAGAGGTTTGTCCTCTCTGTAAACATAGGTGCCATTAGTGTCACTTCTTAGTAACATAAAATAGGACCATAACTTACCCTTCATATATCTAGTTTAAAGACCTTAATGAGAAAACATAAAAAGGTGACTGCCAGCTGCTTTCTACCTTTTTGTCTTCATTTTTATTCTCCTTGTATGTTTTGCTTATACTATATTCTTTGCGTAGAATGTTAACAGTAGCACATCCTTCTCAAACAAAATAGAAAAATACAAAACTTGGTAAATTATTCCTTTTGTATATACAGCTGATCTGTCTACCTTTTTATATTCTAGTTAGTTGTTTTTATCTCTCTACTGCCATAATTTATATATGCCAATGTTTGGGACTTTATAAATAATAAGTAGGTTTTGATCTAAAATTTATATGGAATTTGAGATACTTTTGTACTGGTCAGCTCAGTCTGGTAGAGCAAAAAAAATTTTTCCCACTACTAATAGATTTTGTTTCTTAAATTAATTTATTATGTACATTATTTTATACTTTTCTGTGACCAATTATATTCAGCTATGTAAAATTTTATTAGAGAGGCAATATACCTTAGTGGTTAACAACATGGAGGCAGATTGAAGGCATATTACATAGCTTCAAATTCAGGTTTCACCTTCCACTGTTGATCAGCTGCTTTTATTTATCAGCAAGATATTTAACTTCTACATGTCTCAGATTCCTCATCTGTAAAATAACAATCACCTTTAGGGTTTATGTAAAGAATTACATATTAAAATATGTAAAGTAATTGCAATGATATATGTATGTAGTGTCAAGTAAGCTGTGTTCTGTGGAACCCATGCAACATTGAGGAACATTTAGGGGCTGCTTAGAGTTGGAGTAAGAATTATTTCTGGTAGAGATAAAGTAAATAGAGCTTTGGGGATGGGGGTGGGGTTCTGTCCTTTGCTTAAATAGGAAGCCTGCTTTTTTGTGTGTTTCTACCTTAAACTTGCGTAAGATTTTACTTGAAGGAAAGTTTCATCTGCTTAATAAAGCTAAAAACTAAAACCAAAAGTTTACTACAATTACGTTATGTGTTGTTTTTTTTTTTTTTTAAAAGAGCTTACTGGATTAAATTAAATAGGAACTTCTTGTCTAGATGGGAGATTTTTAAGGACAAATATGTAGGAAGCATCTGTTGTCCATATCTGTGGGGAAAACATCAACAACTGGCATGTACGCTCCGCACTAGGAACTATGATTTACCTATTAATAGATACTTGGAATATTGTTAATGATGAACTGAAAAGCACCTTTGAGACATGTCCTGCACATTTAGAACCTTACTAATGTTGGCAAGCATTCATCAGTATTTTTTACATAATCCTTAGAAAGGTAAAGGAAAAGTCTTTAACCAGCTAGATCGTTAGATCTTGGAAAACTAATACTGTCTTTTCTTTTAAATCTTCCCTAGTGGCAATATATGATAGACATATATTTGTTATATGAATGTTGAACAATAATCTTTTGCTGTAGAGCTACAAAGGAGGTTCTAATTAAGGAGCACAACTTTTCCCTCCTTACATGCAGGATCCCTGTAATTCAGCTAATAAAAAACTATATTAGGGAAAATTGTTTACATGTATTTAGTAGTCTAGAATTCTATGAAGTGTGCTTTGTTTAGCAGTTTTCTTTCTGTGAACTTAAAAGGAGCCTCTTGGTAATATTTGAAAAGTTCAATCCTAGCTAAGAATAGTAATGTTTTATCCAGTATACCTGCTTTTGTTATACAGAGTATGCCAAATGTCCCCATACAAAGGAAACATTTTATAAAACTTTGTAATAAATATTTTGTAAATAAAGGTACATTTAACTACAATTTCCCATTTTCCCTATGTATGATGACTTTTGGGACACCCTGTATTTCTTCTGTGCTTAGCACAGTAGTTGTGGTTGATGTACTAGTGAGTTAAGACATTTTTATGCCTAATGTATAAGTAAACATATTTCCAAAAAAATCTATAGTAGAATACTTAAAACCTGATAACTAAACATGCTAATAGATTTCTACTAGGCTTGACTATGAGCTTTTTTGTATAATATTAGAGAATTAAATGACTTTTAGTGATAGTAGCATAGACTTATGTTGCAGAGAAGAATTTTATAATATTAGACACCATCTTCCAAAGCTAAGTGAACATAATATAGTATTCAGTATCACTAAATTATTTTCTTAGTCCATTCAGGCTGCTATAACAAAATACCATAGACTGGACAACAGAAATTTATTTCTCACTGTTTTGAAGGCTGGGAAGTTCCAGGTAAGGATGCAGCATGGTTGGTTTCTGGTGACGGCCCTCTCCTGGGTTGTAGACTTTTGACTTCTTGCTGTGTCCTCAAATGGCAGAAGTGGCAAACAGGCTCCCTGAGGCCACTTTTATTAGGATACTAATCCCATTCATGAAGGCTTCAGTCCCATGATCTAATTGCCTCCTAATATAGTCACCTTAGTGTTTGAATTTTAAGATGAATTTGGGGGGGATACAAACATTCAGACTACAGCATTTTCTCCTTTTTATTTTTTTTTACTAGAAGAATTTTTACAGAATTAGACATACAAAGTAGGAAGAATTTTATGTAGACATTTAGAAATCTAATCTATATTCATTCTTGCTCATTTTTCAGTAAACCAGATATGTCACGCCTGAGACTTGCTGCTGGGAGTGCTATTGTGAAGCTGGCACAAGAACCCTGTTACCATGAAATCATCACATTAGAGCAGTATCAGCTATGCGCATTAGCTATCAACGTAAGGAAAATGGCAATATAAAATGACTTTAGATGGGCTTTGACTTCTAGGAAGAAAAGCATCCACTATGAATTTAGATCAAAATTGTGAATGCTTTTGTTTTCTTTTGGAAAATTTGTACATGAGAAACATTTCAGAGTTCTAAAACTGTCATTTGAGTTTGGGGTTGCTAACATAGTGCAGTTGATTCTTGTTATTTGCAGTAGTTCTCTTCTCTTCTCTTCCCTTTCCCATTCCCCTTTTCTTTTCTGTTCAAGACAGGGTCTCACTCTGTTGCCCAGAGTGAAGTACAGTGGCATGATGGTAGCCCACTTCCGCCTTGAACTCTTGGGCTCAAGAAATCCTCCTGCCTCAGCCTTCTGATAGCCAGGACTACAGGCATGTGCCACCATGCCTGGCTAATTTTTAATTTATTTTTTAGAAACAGAATCTTGCTATGTTGCCCAGCCTGATCCCAAACTCCTGGCCTAAAGTGATCCTCCCATCTTAGCCTCCTAAGTGGCTGGGAGGATGGACTTGGGTGGCACTGTACCTGGTTATTTGCAGTAGTTTTTTTTCCTGTAAAATTACTACAACATTCAATTACGAATACTTCGATTGCTTTTAGGGGAAATACAAGAATAGGTTCCTTCAAGCCTCTGGTCAAAACATTTTTGTCAAATCAGTTAATACACAACCTTGTTTTATGTGTGTTTCTATTTAAAGACACCATTTCATTAACATTGAATTCATAGTCAACAGAACTATAACTCATGCCTGAACAAAGCTTATCCAGCACATGCATTTTTTCTGTAAGGAATATGACAGCCTTCTTGTGCTTTAAAACACCAGACGGCACTTTGTCACTATGTTTGAGAGCCATTTTAAAATGTGAAAAATGTGATACTAAATAGACCACAAAAAGGACACTTGGCTTACGGTAGGAGAGCTGAAACAAGAAGGCAGAGTGTTGCCTTTTTTGACCTCAGCTTGGAATGTACACGTCTGGCTACTCAATTATTTTGCTGCTCTGTACCTTTACTTTGTACATGACCAAGAAATCACTTCAAGTATTTATTTTTGTGTTAAAAATAAGTTTTAGCCAGTAGACAAATTCCTAAATGTGGAATCCACGAATAATGAGGATTGACTGCACATATTTCGTTCCTAAAATGAAAAAAATGCATAGAAATTTATAGTTTTATGAAGACATGGCATAGACTAATTTCAGGTTGAAAGCATTCCTTAGCATTATTACTCAGTAAGTTAAATTTTCAGATTATGAATAGTGGTACGATACTTACAGATTCATATTCCAGTTTTTTGGATTTCTTAGAGTAACTTTATATTTTAACTGTATGATTTTAGAAGTTTTTAGAGAGAAAATTAAATAAAAAGGACTTTCATAATAGTAAATATAATTCTAGTATGAGTTTTTCATTTATATTTTGGTTATTTTACACATAATTTTTCTGTCCTTTTCCAAGTAGTCTTAAGAATTTATTTCAGGGATCACTATAATTCTTCTCTCCCCTTCTGTTCCTTCTACTGCTTATTTAAAAATTGCTGCTTATTTATAACCCCTAGACAATTTAAAATTTAAATTTAAAAATAGGTATATTTTAAAATTGTAATTCTTCTCTCCCCTTCTGTTCCTTCTACTGCTTATTTAAAAATTGCTGCTTATTTATAACCCCTAGACACTTTGTACTTTAAATTTAAAAATAGGTATTATTTTTTTCGGGTGTTGGTTTGCAAAACTATGGTCACAGGACTAAGGCAAGGAGTAGACCTTCCTACTGCTGCCTCTGAACTTCCCGTCATGTTTTCTTCCAAGTTCATGGTTAATTGCATGGATCATATGGATTAGATCTCCATAAACATATTCAAAAGCTCCTTGTTTAGTTAAGACCACAAACATTTTAGCTGACAAAGTTGTGAGCAAATTCTGTTTTAAGTGTACATCTTCTGAAATATTTGTGGTCATCAATGTTATTAATATCATTATAAATTGATTACTG